GATCATCTTGTCTGCGTTAAGGATTTGGGCTGAAGATGGTTATAAGGTGAAGGAGCTGATTGTTAGTGATGTCACATGTAATCAGGGTGCACAGCTCTCTGTCACACACCGCTTGTTCCTCTCCAATTCACACTTCACACTTGCTCCCTCCATAGGTGTAGATAGCTAAAGTGAACATATACACCACAACAACGGCACCTTAGTTTCAGACGTGGGTTACTGCAGTCATGAGCTGCTCTTTTGTAATTTGCTGAGATGTGTCAGTGTTTCTATGAATAAGTGAACTAAAGGGATGATGTATTATGGATATCTGGAGTTACTTTTTATTTTGGATATCAGATATTAAAATCATGACTAGTAATAATTGGATTGTAGATATCTATAATGAGAGTTTTTCCTAGAAAGAAGTGAGAAGAGTTCATTCCGAATATCAAAAGTGACGCCGAAATTGAAAGCCTGAACATAAATGGCAAAAGTGCCATCATCTGTCCTAGGACGAATGTCATCGTGGATATCTGTAAAACTTTTTTTGACTTGAAAGAACTGAATTACAAATATCTGCTATATATATTCAGTCTGGCTATTAAACATTAAAATTGACACTTATGGGCTATTTGCTTTTAAGGATTTAAAGCTATCTTAAAGTCCTAGTAAAGCAAAAAATATGTGTAATGAGTTTGTCACACCACAGAAAAATGTGTCTCTGACCAACCCAGCCAAATTTGAATGATTAAAAATCACCGAGTGTAAATACAGTCGATGTCTAGTCAAAGTTTGAGGGTCCTGTCAGCGAGGGGGAAAACAGTCCTTTCCTCCGTTTCTCGCCTGTAAATGCTGGAAAGCGCAGTTTTTAAACTCACGTAGAGCCAGTACTACATTTACTATAGATATGATTAATTAAACTTTCCATAATATCAGTACCATACAGCCATTAACACTATGATGTAATAGCTTAGCATCATGTTTTAATGAATCCCATGCATGTAGGCTACAGCAGCGCTAATGTTTCTCAAGGCCATTAGCCTAACATTAACAGGCAGGGGTTTACAACCTCAAGAGCTACAGGTCCTTGGAGGCTCACAACTCCTTTACCAGTGGCAGCACAACCTAACACTGCCTGGATAAAGAGTTAGGTTGTCTTTGCTTAACCAGAAACAGCCCTTAGAATCACCATCGCCATGCTCACCAGACTACATGTAAATAAACAGTCATTTTAGCATGCATAGAAGCAGCAGATTTTCACAAATAACTTTCAAAAATTCAAGGTTTATTTCAACAGAACCAGAGCTGGTGATTGTTGGAACAGTGGAAAGACAAACCAAGATGGTTTCTGTGAATTTTTTTATTTTTTTATTTTTTCAACTTTTAATGTAGTGTGTTTTACAATAGTAAATTACTGTTTATTTAAATGGAGTCTGGTGGGTTTGATGATAATAATTTTGAGGCTATTTTTGGTTAAACAAGGATCTTACTCTTGAACAAAAATGTCTATCTCTGTTGGGATCCTTTCCATAATGTTGTCACACAATAACAATCTGAGCCTGTCAGTGACCAAAAAAAGCACTTTAAGTGGAAGTAAACTGACAGTGCGAACATGCCCTGAGCGTTTGCATTGCAGCCTGATCACTGCTCTCACTCAATACTGGACCAATTTTAAAAAAAATGCTGTTTCCATTGATGACTTAGAAACAAAAACATGGAAAAATATGATCCAGGTTTTTTAAGATTATTTTTGGCGTGAAAGGGGGAAAGAGAGGGCTGCAAGGGTGCAGCAAGTGTCCGCGGGCTGGAATCGAGCCCTAGGCCGCTGCGTCAAGGACAATACGTTTATACTTGGGGTGCCCGCTCTATCCACTGAGCTTCTGGGTCACTCATATGCAGAATGCCACACAGCAAGTCTTTAGCATGGAAGTGAATGCTTTGTTTTCCCCCTTGGTGTAAAAGGATGTGAGGTTTCTTGGGTGTTCCAAAACATACAGACTGTATTTATATAAAATTAGGTTGTGAATAAATGAGCAGTATTTTATGCTCTGAGACACTGAGGGTGTGAAAGACCTGAAACAAAGATTGAGCCACTGAGCACCAGCAGGCTGTAGTTAGCAGCTAACCCAGTAGCATGAAGCACACCCACTCCCAGAGCCGAAGAATGAGCTGCTGCAGAGACAGACCCTCGTTCCACACCTAACAGCGGCTAACGTAAACACAAAGTCCCAGTCTTTTCACATGTTTTCAACAAGTACTTTCCAACATGTATAATGTGTTTAGAAAGAGATTTCTCATTTTACTTTACCTGGACTTTAAATTTAGTTTTGACTAGCACAATCAAAGTTGAAATACTTTATCTACTAGAAGGTTATTGTTGATATCTTTATTTATTCTGCCTGGTGAGAATGCAATTTTGACTTGAATAAATGCTATAATGGAGACTGGAGTGTGGTTTGATTAAATGTTAAAACAGCTTGTCACAGCAGCTGCAGGTGAGGAGGGAAAAAGATGAATGGATGATTGAGTAGATTCATGATCAGAATGTAAACACTGTGTATTTTTGCAATATGTTATTTGAGTCTTCAAGGACTCCGTCTCAACAAATTAGGCTACGTGCTTGCATCAGTTGCGAGCCATCTCAAGCATCACCATGGAAACAGTGGTCGTTCACTCCGCTGAGTGAGTCTGCACCTGTTTGTTTTTGTGCATTGGGCCTTTTTCATGTAAATGTTTGATGCATTTAAGTGTACAGGAAAGACATTAGAGGGAGGGGTGTGGGTTTCTAATGCAGCAGCCTGACAGCATAATGATCCAGCTTTCTTTGTGTTTATTTGCCGTACAGTTTGTTTAATTGCCATTTGGGCTCCATTAGACAGCGACAGATTCAATGTGCGGGGCAAGCGTCTGGTAAAAGCAAGGCATGGAAATATCTAACTCACATTAAGTCTAATGATTGCAAACAACCGTATAGCTTGAATACTTCTGTTTCTTTAAGCGTAAAGATCCACTACTAAAAATAGAGGCATGCGTGCATGCTGTAAAGTTAATAATGCTATAAAACCATGTTTGCATGAGTAATGTAACGAGCACCAGATGATCAACACCCAGATCAGTCATATGTTTGGAGTCAGGTGCATACAGGAAAGCATGATGCAGGGTATTTGGTTGAATACAGACACACATGGTGCTCCATGCTGTTTGTGTGCCTGGGCTGTATGGAGCTGTGAGGTGGCTTTATGTTTAAAAGAGATGTGACGTGAACTTATGTGAGCGTAATGTTTTGGATCTCTGGAAGCAAACCACTTGCCAAGATCTACAGCATGTAAATAATCAAATTAGCTTTTGAAATGGGTGTAAAATAAAGTGCCATGCTCCCTCTTCATTTCCCGTCTATCCTCTCTTTTCATTCCCCGTCAGCATCTCTCTTACTCAGAGGCCAGTCTGCTCTCATCTGTGCACATGTTTGGACCGAATGAGCGAGTATGGCTCCCTGAAATATGTCAGATTTAGAAAAGGAATGCTTAAAATTTCTTACATTTTTGAGATAAAAAAGTAAAACTTGCCCATCGTCTGTACGAGTTATCAGAAACAACAATTCTTTGGTTCTTCACATTGCACAAAGGATCGAGGGACAGACATTTACGGGGAGACAGTAGCAAACAATACAAAGTCATCTATTATCGTCTAACAAATGCAACTCCATCAAAATAATGCAGTACACGTATCGAAATGCAAAACTACGAGATTAGCACAATATATTTGTCTAAGAGTCCATTCTTTTAGAAAATATCTTAAAAATATAAATTATTTGCATTCTTTACCTTGTACAATAAATGTGTTTTTTTGTAATATTCTACTCTTGTAGTACATGTACAATATTCACACTCCGACAAAACTGGAGGTTCAACATAGAAAATCTCAGTGATTTTCAGTGCTGTTTCTCCAGCTATGGTGATGCTTGTCAGCACTGTCGTTTAATATGAAGTTCGGATTTTCAGCTACAATAGGAATGACGACTCCTTTCGAAACACCTTTGAAAAAAAGTTTTTGAAATAACACATAAGACTTTTTGATTTCCTTCAAATTCAAACTCTGATTACAGCAATACAAACACCGATACAAACAAGAATAAAGGAATAAAGAGGGTTTTTTTTCTTCTCTGTGTTCATAATAAAAATAATTATCACGTTAAGGTGCTCTTTCTTGCCAGCAGTCGGGCACAACAGGAACAAAAAGGAAATCGATGGACGCAGCCTCACAGTATCTCTCTCTGTGTTGTCTAAATGTGTTCTGTGCAGTAAAAAAATATGGATGAGCAAGACGCTAAACTGAAATACTCGATTCTCCTCAAGCTCACACTTCAAGAGATCAAGAACGCTACAATAAATATACTGTATATATGTATGTCTATGTATATCTCTCTGTCCCACTCATACAAACACAAACATAAAACAAGGGTGACAACATCAACTAAGGCCAGTTTTGAGGAAGGAAGTCCAAGAAAGCAAACTATACATTTTCCCAACACACTCTTGCCTTTGTAAGGCCGTAATTTTACACTGTGTAACCAATGACTTAAAGAAAAATGTAAGTTCCTCCTTCACATGTTATTAGAACTATCTCAGCTGAATGAGTTTCCCATTTTGCAGTGCCATGTTTCAATGCCCTCTGTGGTTTGCTACTGATTGGTCAGCTTTTGCTATAGTGGCTTTAAAGTGGTCTCCAGGGATGTCAGAAAAATAGGTTTTTGCTTATAAAAATGATATCCTATACTCTTATGACTAGGCTGTAATTATTATATGATGATCTGGACTAGAACAAATGTATAAATAGTAAAAACTATCAGATGGGCATTCCTTGCCATTTTTAAAACCTCTTAGATCAGAGTCCTCTACTAAGTTAATTAACTTAAGAGTCATTGGCAGGAAAAAGTTCAAGAGCGAAAAAATCTTCCCCGCTGCCAACAACTACTTCCATAGAGAATCAAGTCATTTTGTAATTCTTTCAATGTTCACAAGTGTTTTCAGTGCCTTTCATATTTTTTGTAAGTTCAGTTTTGCTAAGTCACTGTGCTTCTCATATTTCCCTTTCCGCTTCCTCCGTGGTCTCTCCCTTATTGTAAGTTTAAGCATTAGAGTGACTCTTGTCTCCCTGAAGTGGCTGTAGTTCCTGAGCCACATGGTTCTCCTGCCCTTCCAGCGGCAGTGTGCTGTTCCCCAGCTTCCTCTGCAGGCCCTCCATGTGGTTGGCCCCTTGTTGGAAGCTGGAGTGAGGGCCAAACTTGGGGCTGGATCTCTCCAGGAGTCTTTGGGATGGGTTGGCGCCTGAGCCATCGTGCAGATGCTCCTCTTCATCCGTGTCAGCGTCGATGAATTTACTGATGGATGCATCATGGAATGTGAAGAGGGCGCTGGGCAGTAAATTCTCCGGGCTCTTGCTGGGTGTCCTGCTGCTGGCAGTTGTGTAGATGGACACCTCGGGGCTCTGGACTGACGAGCTGTCTGAGAGGGCCCCTGTCCCTGAATCCTCCCCACATCTAAAGTTGACCTTGAGCGAGTGGCTTTTGAGTGGATTGTTGAAGCGTACACCCCTGGGGCTGTCGGAATATGGGCCGGGCTTGGCGCTACGTCCTGTCAGGGGTGTAGTGGTGCCCTGGGATCCTTCATTCTCATTCTCCAAGGTGGGCTCCAGGCTGGGGTTAGTGCTGACCTTCCCTGGCATGTTGCTGACGGGGCTGTGGGAAAAGCGAGAGCTCTCAGGAAAGTCAGTCGCACAGCTGATGAAGCTGTCAATGCTGGACATGCTCCTCATGTCTGAAACTACCTCTGCTTTGCTCGAGATGGCTTCAGCAGGTATGCTTCCCATCTCTAATTCAGCTTTCTGTCTAACTGCCTTGGATGGTGGCTCTTTTTCTTTGCTGTTGAGGTCAGGGTGTGATTGGACCTTGGCCATCTTGTTGTACATCTCCTCCAGTTTCTGTGCGCTAAGATGCTGAGGGCTGCTGGAGGGCTTGGCCTGCTCTTGGTAGCCTGATTCAAGGGTCTTGGCGGGGCTGCTGGGGTTTTTCTGTGACTTGAGTTTGGGTGTCCCTCTCTGCAGACCAGGAGACACGTGATTATCATGCACCTTTTCCTTCTTTTCACCAGTATTTTCCACCATTATGTCCATGAGCTCTACACTGCGGCCAAATGCATCTTTAATGTTCATAGAAACAATGCTACCATTTCTCTTTGCCCTCTCCAGAGCCTCCCTTCTTTTGATGGCTTTCTCCTGCCTCTTCTGCTCTTTGTAGAACTCAGAGAAGTTATTGACGATGATGGGGATAGGCAGGGCTATCACCAGCACCCCGGCAATGCAGCACAAACCTCCAACTATCTTTCCCAGTAAAGTTTTGGGGTAGATATCTCCATAGCCTACTGTTGTCATAGTAATAGTAGCCCACCAGAAGGAAGCTGGGATACTTTTGAACTTGGTGTCCTCTTCATCCTTTTCTGCAAAGAACACCAGACTGGAGAATATCATGATGCCCATGGCCAGGAAAAGGATCAGCAGGCCCAACTCGTTATAGCTCCTCCTGAGAGTGAAGCCCAGTGACTGGAGACCTGTGGAGTGACGAGCCAGCTTTAGAATACGCAAGATCCGCATGATCCTGAAAATCTGAACCACACGACGGACGTTCTGAAATTGCAGCACACTCTTGTTGGATTCTGTCAGGAAGATGGTGACGTAGTAGGGCAGGATGGCCAGCAGGTCGATGATATTTAGAGGACCCTTAAAGAACTTCCACTTGTTGGGGGAGGAGAGGAAGCGAAGCAGGTACTCCATGGTAAACCAGGCAATACACACAGCTTCCACGTGGGCCAGCTGTGGGTTGTCTGTGGACTGACCAAACTCATCTGTGTCCTGCAGCTCTGGTAGGGTGTTCAGAGACAAGGCAATGGTTGACAACACAATGAAGAGGATGGAGACAATTGCCAGGATCTGAAAAACAAAACACAGAAGAAAACAACAATGAAATTACTTAAGTATACACAATAATGTTTGATGAATACATGTCAGTGCTGTATACCCATTTTGTGCTGTTTTCTAGGGATAGCAATGGCAGTTGGGTTTCTACAAACATGGCCGCCAGAGGATTGAATCCTACTGACTTTGCTGATCCCCTTTTCTTCTAGTGCCACCAGGGGTGACATTGGTGGTTTTCAGTACAATGTCTTGACAACCACTTGACGAATTGCAAAGAAATTTGGCAAAGACATTAGCGTCCCCTTCAGAATGTATCATGACCCCCTGCTTTTCATCTCCTGCAATCATCAACACTTTGTGTTTAGGGATAATTAGCAAATGTTTCCATGCTAATAGACTAAACAAAGATCTGGAACATGGTAATGATAACCTGTTGAACATAAGCATGTTAACATTATCACTGTAAGCACGTTAGCTTGCGGGCATTAGCATTAGGCAAAAAACATTGCTGTGTCTATTTACAGCCTCACAGAGCAGGCTGTCAGCCACAAGCATGACTTTAGCAACCTTGTTGGCAGAACAAATTTAGGCATTGTACGTTTCTGTAAAGGATGTTACATTTGTATATTATTAAGTAGCGCATATGCTGACACTTTATATTTCTTTACATTTCAACAATCCTGTGGTTAACATGTGGTTAGGTCCTAGGCACAAAAACCACCTGGTGATGATTGAGAAAAGATCATGTTTTAGCTTAAAAGCCACTTTTGGTGGCACAATCCCAGCTGGAAACATGGCAGTGTGTCAGTAAAAACCAAAAGCTTTTTGTGGCACTATCCCGGCAGGAAACGCAGCACCAGGTTGCTAAAAAACATCCACTTTTGGTGGCTGTAAATGCAGTGATGACTTGCTAAAAATACCTGACTTTGCTGTTTGCTGGTGTTGAACAGTGGTCTGCAGCTTGGCAGATGTTATGCTATCCACAATCCCCTTCACCTCCCAATGACAAAGTCAGCTCATATATTACGTCACTTTAGAAACGCTGATATGATATGTATGGAATGGTATCTGCGGTTTGCAGAAGCATATCATGGCAAAATTTTCTTTTTGGCTGGAAACTTAAGTCTTGTTGATGAAGTTTTCTTGAGGTGACAAACCAAATGCAAACTACTTATTAGCATAGTACCATATGCAAAGTACCATATGCCTATGGATGGATTCAGTCTAATTGCCTGTTCAATCCAGTCTTTTAATCTTTGGGAAACAAGCAGCAAACGTTTGATCATCACTACATGGCTGCACTGATGATGATCGCTTAGACTGAAAGGATTTAAAGACTTAAAGATTAAAAGACTGTACTGAATATGCAATAACTCTGAAGCCATCTGTTTTGTGTTTCTGTGAGGGTCCTTCTCATTACCTTGAACCTGCAGTTGGCACTGCAAGTTTTCATTTTGAAAATGATCATAATTATACACATAGCAAGCAAGGAGAAGTAGACTGAGGTGGTATTTCTACAGCATGCATTGCTCATTTTGCCTCAGCTTGCAGTATTAAATGTATATTAAAGGCTGAATGTGACATTGACCAGTGAAGCTAAAGTTAGCAGCTGCCCCTGAACTACATGCTGAAAGTGAAAACGCTCCATCAAATTGAAATAGCGCTTTAATGATGTCCGAGGAAGGTCAGTCCCATGAGAAACTCCATTTCAACGTGTCAAACTGGTGGGGTTCCATTCACGACACCAAATTGCATTTCAGAACTGGCTAAAATATCCAAACTGGCGATGGCATTTTCTGATGATATTTGTTCATGGCCCATTTAACTTTGGAAGTATTCATGAAATGTCATGTCAGCATTTCAAAAGAAATGGGGTCAGAGCTAATGTGATCTCTGGGGCAGATGTTTTTTTTTCTTTCACTTCAAGTCTTGACATATGCGTCACAGAGACAGACAGGAGGGAGACGAGAGAAAGAGAGAGTTTGAGATTGTATTGATACATTTTTAAAACCCCTGCCACTCTTATTCTTCACTGACTCTCCATTTCTATTCAGTCTGCTTTAGTCCTTCAATGCCCAAGGCTACAAGAAAACCACATTGTATTACTTGTTTTACAAAGCACACCCTGCATGGTCTGTAAGCCTCCCTGACAGACTGCTGGAGACCTCTGAAGCATTGAGCCACCTACTAATGATATAATCTGCTGAGCACAATAGAGTCTAGTCATAGTGCTGGGGATTAAGATGGCTGCACATTTGTGGGTGTATAGGTGTGCCACACCTATTATTCCTGTCCTGGAATCAGTGTAAAATCCAACACAAGGTCACTGTGGAGGCTGTGTCCCAGGCCAGTGGCGAGCAGGATTATTCCCTGGCACAAATCAGCAGCCATAAGCTTTAATTAATCTTGACAGGTGACTGCTTGTACACCTACCTTGGCCTTTGAGAAGTAGAGGGACTAAAAGCAGCAAAGCCCTACTGGGGCGCAGGTGAGAAAGGGCAGGAGAAAGTCTAGAGTAAAGGCATTTCAACTTCAGAAGCCAAATAGTTCAGCTGTGAGAAAGGACAGACTAAAAATTTAACTCTATCAGAGCATTCCCTGAAATAGCCTGCCTCCCAGTTTGGCTCCCTTGAGACCAAAGTGATGGTCTCCAATTCAAGCCATTAAAGGTAGAAGTCTTGTTACTAACATTACCATCATCAGTAACAGTAACAGCTGTGACCCCCCAAGTGGCTTCCCCTGGCGAGAATAATTGGAGGCTGATATAACTGTTTTTAAAGGCCCTGGCACAACAAGCTGATGTTTGGCCATCGATCAATGTTGGGCCATCTGTGAGCATCTGTCCAGCACCTGAGCATCACCCTAGTCTTTGCAATGTGTCTCGAACTGTTGGCCCTCGTCAGCTTTTTCCCCCATCAATTCAGCATGTAGCATGGAGCCTGTTGGTCAATGAAATCACTGTGATTGGCAGTTCAGCTCAGCACACAAAAAGAGGAACAAAAGTGAGGAAAGTAAACAAAGGTCTAAAGTCAAGAGGGTGTGAGATTAAAACAAACTTGAAATATGAGGTAGGATTCTTTTTTTTTTTTTTAAGCCATTGAGTTCTTTAGCAGAAACATTTCCTGATGGTTGGTGTTATCATTCACTGGCGCATAGTAAATATGCTCTGTTCAACACTGGATCGTGCTGTTAATGTGCTAACTGGCTAACTGGCATCATGACAGTCTTCCGGTTTCCCTATTTTAATGATGATTACAGACAACTGCCGTCTGCTGGTATGGAGAGTTATTTCTTCTCACCCAGGCACAGAACGTCCATGCTGGCTGGCCATCGATTGTAGCTTTTGCAATGTGCTAATGTGCAATTTTTTGGACAAGGCACAAGTGACGTGAGGCAATGCAACTGCTAGCCTTTGTCACCACTAGTTCTTTGATGTCAGTTTGGTGCGTCTGGGCCTTAAGAGGCTGTGGCACACTCACAGTACTGGTATCTTGTGAAACTAGACAACTTAATGCATCCATTGGTACCATCCAGCTTGGCGGCAAGGGGGCTAAATAATGCTCCAAATTTAGGCAAAATTTTGTTGAGGAACCAGCTGGCATGACCATTTTTAAAGGATCACTTGAACTCTCACCTCAAGGTATGTGAATGAAAACGGGTTCTATGGATATCGGATGTCTCCCCTAAATATAAAGCGCATTTTTTTTTTACAAAGCTGACACTTTCCCAAGTTGCTTGTGGTCACTGCAGAATGGACCCACGACCCACTTTTGGATCGTGACCCAGCAGTTGGGAACCATTGGTCTATGCACATCAGATAATTACTAATATTAGCTGTAAAATAAGAAACCAAAAACCAGTTCCTTAACTCTCCATACTGACATACCTTTCAACTTGCCTATATACTTCCACAGCATTGAATTCTTGAAATTCAGTTATGACTTTTGGTTTTGGTGTGCCACCCCAGTCTTTTCAGTGTCCCCATCTGGCCACTATTGTGAAAAAATTCCGAGTGCGCCACTGGTGGAGGTCAGATGATCAGACACAGTCTGAAGAGGTTGTAAAGGGGAACTGTGCCATATGTACATTGATTTAGCAGCAACAGACCAACAGACCAACAGACAGTGACGAGAGAAGAGAGGCATTGGCTACTGAGCCTCAGATCTAAAACAGACTGTCCAGTGGAAACCCCACTCATCAGATCAGCACTAATCTATGTTGACGCACTGACCAGACCTGAGCGTCGCTGATAATTCACTCTGAATACAAAAGACAGCATTTGAGACTGAACCTGGGTGTGTCATGTGTACAGAGAACAACCAGAGCATGACCAGCTCCACCTCCCAACAAATTCTCTCTCTTTCTCACCTTTTCCCCTCTCACTTGGCGAGTACTCCAAAGCGGGGTCAGCCAGAGAGGAGATTATAGGGATGTGATCTCACCACACAGATACAGTACAGATAGAGTGAGAGAAAGAAGTGTCTACCGAGCACACTCAGCACAGTGACAAATCTGTGACACAGAGGGAATGTGGCAAACCCAGTCTGAGCTTTGCAGCAGAAACTTGTAAGTTTCCTTGGTTAGCCAATGTGATGTGATTAATGTATGATTTGTGTGTGCGGGGGTGACACTGTTTCACAAATGAGGAAATGGAATATAATGTAGCTGCCAGACAGAGCAGAGCAGAAAGAGAATATGAATGTAAAGGAAATAACGCTAAATTACATTAGGGTGAAAATATTTTCAGTATGCAGCGGGGATATTAAGACACAGATGCACTGTTACAGAGGGTTATGGTAAGTGTTGTGTTGCCTCATTAGCTCTTAATGACGAGCAGTGAGGTCGTGAGGACAGCCCGTCCCATTTCCTGTTTGCATAAATGAAAGATAAATCTGATCAAGACCGCTGCTACTTCGGCACAACCCTGACACACACTCATCTACAACAAACAAAACCACATGCATAATACACACGCACGCACACATATTCACTCCCAGCTCATTAGCCCCAAGCCT